TGTAATAACGTACGTTGTGCTATGCGGTCTTCAAAGCAGCATTAGTATCTCTATAAGATGAAGGGGTGAATGACACTAGGTTGTGACCGCGAGATGTGACTTCGAAATTAGCTCTTGGTCACATCATTCCTGTATAACTCTAATAGACCCACAATCAGTCGATATAGATAATCTAAGTTGGTGATCTATAGATGCTTCTTCCGGGGAGCATGCACCCTCTAGCTCACTACCACAGTCTAGACAATGAATGCGACATCGGCCACCTTCGTATGCTTCATTTCAAATGAATATATCAAACTGGTCCAAATATTTTCACTGCCATTCTGTATTTCGGGTCCGTGCAGTAAATAATGAGCTTGAGATTACCTCAATTAAAACCAAGCGCCACCGTCTTTGCACAAAAGAGCATAGTTCTGTACATCTTTTGCGATGACAGTAGTCCAGTGAACGTCTATATTTAAAGCCGTTTTTGTTTTTTGGCTCTAAAATGCGTCGCAATATCACAGTGTCGCTGCCGTGGAATAGTGATTACACACTTTCGAAATTACATCTTCAATGCCCAGGATATCTTGCTTCTAAAATCTCTCTAGCAAGCTTGTAGAATACCACTTTTTTTTCGCTTCTTGATATTACGGTGCTGATCAAGGTCTTTGCTTTCATTCAATAGTGGTAGTTTTTTTCGCTTGGTTGCTCCAATCCTAGTGACTTTGGTGATGAACAGAAGATTAGCATTTTTATTATAGTGCTTATTATAGTGTAGTGGAGTTGCTAAAAATTAATGATCAGGAAATCAGTTAATTGCAATATAAAAAGCTATAAAACTGGAGTGTAGAGAGGCGAAGAGAATATAAATTTTAGAATCAGTAAACTTTTAGTAGGTTCAAGCATTGTGGATAGAGAAGCGGATAGTCAGAAGTGATAACAGGTGACGTAAACAGAGATGACCCAATAAATATTGGAACAGCAATAGAGAAAATATTGATGGTCTCGACAATGTAAGGGTTGTGTACTGGGCAAAACTGTCGTCATGTCAGCTGAGCAGTCGTTCCAGTCATAATCAACTCGTAATGAAAAGTGTAGTCGTACCTGTATATCATCTCTTCGATATGCGATTCTAAGTGGGTTACTATAGTATTCGAATTATCGTATGAACTAGGAATTCCAGAATTAACGCAATTGAATTAAGAAGACACAGGCACAAACAAATGTATTGTATTTAGAACTCGAAATCGAGCATTCAACCAGTACCAAGGTATCATTAGTTCATTCAAACACCACGTCCGCCACAGCTTAAATTGGAGTCTAGGTGTTTGTAATCGGTTGAACGTCTTCTTGTTGAGTTCATCCTGAGTCTGTCCGACATTGTATAAGATAAAATCTTTGTAGTGTCTAGAAAGTGCTCATTGGTATTGGAATTAACAAACGAAATCGGAACAGACTCACCTGGAATTGTATACAACCAGCATGTCGGTTTTGTAATGAAATAATTAATATCTAGAATTTGAACCATAGATTTTTCAACACTATCCTCCCCCAAGAAATAATGCTGGATTTTTTTGTCCCCAAGTTATGAATAATGTGGCTTCATTTAAAACATATTTCTCACCTTGTTTAGAGTAAACACTAGAACTGTTTTTGTGATAAGGGTAAACAGCAGTTGATATGAAATCATCCGAAATGTAATAAAACTCGAGGTCACTTAGTACTCGTGCTTCGCATTGAGCAGGTTTTTCACAAGGATCAAATACATTATGAGGATAGGTAATATGTGATATGACATCAGGATTTGATTCTTCTGAAATATTCTCATGAAATTCATTAGGACTGTCATTGAAGAGCATAGGATCGTTAGAAAAATCAGCATCTATCCAAACCACATCACGTTTCTCATCATGATTAGGTTCATTTAACATATTTTCCTCAGAATTGCAAGTAATTTCATTAGAAATATGTGAATCATTAGGAAAAGTCATACCTGGTACAACAGCATGAGAATTCTGATAAATCGGTTGATTAGGAACTGTTGTCTCACAAGAATTCTGGATTTCATTTAACTCTGAACTGCCATATGACTCTGCACTGTCTTTTGAAATCGTTGATGAAGATAAATGATCATCATGAATACTCGACTCAGTAGAATCAGAATAACAACGCTTAATATTAGTTGCAGTATGATGAACATTAGCATTACAAACTGACTGAACTTGTCCAATATCACGACATTTGAAGCACTTAGAATTACGGAATTTACATGAATTAGAAGAGTGGAACTTGCAACAGGACAAACACTGACCAAACTTGTCCCCATCCTCGTGAACTGCATCCAAACTCAATGAATTGTCTGCATAACCTTGAGTATGCACTGGGTTGGGATGACGTAGTAATGTAGTGGACTTTTTTATATCCTCATGGATCATTTTACGAAATCTTCCTCCTTTACGACATTCGAAATTTGTATACTGAGCATAGTCTAGCAGTAGATCCTTGAGAGCTGTATAAGAAAGCGAAATGGGTTTTTCCGGCATAGCCAGAGTTCTTAATAAGCTGTATGCTTCTTTTCCAATGAATGTGAGGAAGTGTGCCACAATATTAACATCCTCATCATCTTCCTTGGTCATAGCCCACATTTCGAACCTTTCAAAGTAATCTTCAAAAGCTTCCGAAGTTGAATGAATATCTAACTTTTCCATTGCAGGCTCCATCGTGACGCCAATATGGTATTCGAACTATCGTATGAACTAGGAATTCCAGGATTAACGCAATTGAATTAAGAAGACACAGGCACAAACAAATGTATTGTATTTAGAATTCGAAATCGAGCATTCAACCAGTACCAAGGTATCATTAGTTCATTCAAGCACCACAGTTACCTCGTGAAATGCAGAGTACAGGCCCAAAAAGGATATTTTTGTTTTAGTTATCAGAAGTCTTTAGTATGCTTGTAGCAATAAATAAATCCTCAAATAAATGGTATTGTAAGTGTTCGACGTCTGACGCTGACTTCTCAAGTTTTACTGGACACACTTAGCTGAAGGCGCTCGGTCATACATCTCTTGAAATTGCCAGACAACTTAGACAAAACGCTTCCAGCTATATCGATAGTCTTCTGAATATGTCTTTGAACAATTTCATTTATGACTTCTGATTTCGTTGGATTGACATGCTTCGATTATAAAGATGTTACATGTAAAGGCGTTGTCAGACTTCGAATACCTGTGATACCTTTTCTGTAATATGTTGACAACAATCTATGTGGTGAGGTCGTTTTTCTGATGGTTTGGCCTCAGTCTTATGAACAATTTTGTGACATGTATCTGTACGTGTTCCAAGTTTCTTATGCGCCATTTAGGAACTAAGTATTTAATGACGGGCCAGTTGACGTGTAATATTTATTGCTGTTAGTTCTTCAGAGAAGAATCAATTTTCCCGCAGAGTTATTCACCGATGGATTTGATACTGATTTTCACCACAGTATGAGGAAAAAAGATTCCCAACTAGAGCTTATCTGGTTACGGTTTTCTAACCTTTTTTAGACGATCCTAAAGAGAAATGAACGATAGGACATGTCAACATGAACCGTTATTAAAGGTATGGAATGACGATATAATTCTCCATATGTTCTGCGATGAGATTAGAAGAAAAGCTTTAAACATTTTATCTGTCCATTATATGAGACTTTGGAAAATCTTGAAATCCATTCAGCATCTACTCTTTAGAAGTGTTTAGGGGCTTATACGTGTTAAAATGGATGTGGACAAGCCCCTTGAATTCATATTCTAGGTTCCGTTTCGCGTATATTATATTCAGAATTCGAATTGAAAAGCACTAGACGCCCGTTTGTTCTTAAGAGGGCACTGAAAAATCGCTGAATTGCAATTAAACCGAGTTTTTTAACCGACGACTCCTTTTGATGGATTGTGTGTGACCTTCAGATCACTAAGTGGAAATACAGTGGCACACATATATCTTCAATTATCACAAACAATCCTTATATATATATTATTGACCTAGAACGAAATTATGAATTGGAACGCTTATCGAATCACAGTCCGCCCGAGCATATAAACGGTCAACCTTCAAAGTATAAGATGCGTATAGACTTAGCACCCATGAAATCTACTATCGTTGAGTTCAAACCTTTTGTTTAAACTTTGCGAAAGCTCTCCGTAACAATACCACCCCGATGTTGTGTAAAGTTTTCTTGAAACTGATAACGCCAAAGGCAATGTTCACGAAAAAGTAACTAACAGGATTTCCATATTGTATGAATGCTCGTCTTTCAAACCTGGTTTTGAACGATTAAGTTTACAAAAATTTGACTTGGGAGCATAAAAGTACCAAAACATTGTTTTTTCACCATGTTTTCGAGGTACTAACTTTTCTTATCATCACCGTTGTGACTGTGTAAAGTGTAAATTATTCCACTGTCCATGCGAGATCTCTGAAGCTCTATATATATATAACGACTTTTTTCATTTATGGTTGAGTTCAAAATACCTTTATTACATATAATATGCGATGTTTCGTCGTATGAAACACATACTGAAGTTTGATCTCCAGAGGCTTACAAAAGTGACCTATGCGTGATTAATAGACTCATGAGACCTCGATAAGGACACTCTACACAAGAGTGACCAAGGTAATGAAGTGCTGTTACAGCAGTTTGGGAGGATCAAGGGTCAAAATGCTTGAATTTCGGGATATGTGCACTCCCGTCGAACCAGTAATCGTAGAGCGAGCAAAAGCTTAGCCATGAAAGTGAAGCAAGTAGATGGAATTTGGTTCTGTTTAAACGTGACAGATAACCGAGAGCGAGATGTTAGTGGTTGAAACTTGCAAGCATTATACTCTGCATCTTCAGGCACAACAAAGACGATGCTGCCGTGGAGGAGTAAGCTGGCCAGCCATATCAGATTTAATGAATGAATGAGTTCAAAGATACATTTGTGAGGTTGTCGATACGCCTTGTCATCCGTATCGATAGCCCACTACTGTTAGACACGGAATATTGATAATCACAAGCTAGTTCTAGTACTTCCACAACCGTTGGAACCATTTGAAAGGTCATACTAGAGTTTTTCAGAGGTAATTCGAAAGACTACTTTGCAACCAATCATCGAAGCCTGATGTATGCGACAGTTGGTAATTTGATATGATTGTGTAAGTTGTTAAACAACTTCTACGCTACTGAATCTCATTTTAACTCAGCTGTTCAGTTATTACTCGTATTCCGGCAGACGTTATCAACGACTTAGAATAAACAGTAGCTATGTAGTTACCATATATGTAATACATATTGTATTTATATATATATAGTATAATATATATTATACTATATATATTATACTATATAGCATAGTATAGTACAGTATAGTATAGTATAGCTACTGTTTATTATATAGCCATAGCTTCAAATGGGTGGGCTATCTTGAGGCATGTCAGTGAATTACCTCGTAATTATTGGTGTGTCTGAATTAATTGAACGGATGAACTAGTAAACCAAGGTTAGATCTAACCTCAGTTATCTGTCCTTCGAAGGACAGATAACTGAGTGAACATACATTAATGTAAGCTGACACTGTACCAACCATCAGAAATACCAATAAAAAGTAAAGTCAACCTTATTAAAGCTATTTTTAAACCATATATTTGCCACATTAGAGTTGGTAAATATTACACAACTTCCTAGCTCTTCGGCTCTTTTTGGTAAGGTTACATTCTCCATAAAAGTAGACAATATGGAAAGAAGTCCGCTTTTAGAAGTTAATTAACCATAATAAGTAATTTGTACATTTCAGTTATTCAGCACAAAAAAAAGAAAATTAGGCGGTTTTAGAATAGGAGATGAGGTGCTTATGATATATGTACATCTGTTAGATTATGAGAATTACTTATTTCTGTTGGTGCTGCTGATAATATTTTATCCATAATTTTGGCTGTTACTATTTGTCACTCTACGTTTGTCGCATTCTGAACACCCCTTCTGAATTTTAAGATTTCCTCACTACTCTGATTCATGCACTCCAACTATCGATTCTAGTTGTTTTAATAACTCGAAAAGGCTGGTTTACCACTGAATGTTAAATAATCTTAAATTTCATAAAGAACCCTTTTGGAAGTTGTGGAATATTATTTTAACTTTTAGCATCTTTAAGACTTAAAATTACACCGAAATTTGTTTACCATCCATTCAAGCTCGCTCTGAAACTTAGTGGTTAGCAAATGAGTCTGAATCGTAATAAATTTAAACTTGACAAGAAATTTCGTGGTCTGAATGCAAAGTTTTTGATCTGCATATCACAGTAGTTGGTAGAAACTTTGCAACCAGTGAGTCGGAGGTTTAGACTTTACCTCAAATGGCAAGTATAGTTCAAGATCTAGTGCACACAATCAGAGACTTGGTCGCAGTTGTACGTGTTTGTAACATGACAAATACATAGCTAATCATCAGTAATCAAATGATGCAGGTAGATTGTCCAAGTTAGTAAACAAGTGGGTATTAAAGGGTGTTATGTGTTAATATGTCCATATCGTTACCCATCTGCGACTGAAATTTAAAACAAAGTCACTTGAACTTCTATATTTAAGAGTTGTGTAAATTCAGGGACGCGTGTTCTTTCTCCGATTCTAACGTAGATGATGGGCCTCTTCTCTTGGGTTTATATTCTAAGTAGTGAGAGATGTTTGAAAAAAACCTAAAATTTTTTAAGGTTTTGTTTGATGTTTTACTGATTACTTATTTTTGATATAGGTAAATTATCCTATATACTTTGTATAGTGAGCCATTTTGAACAAAAACAATAAAATGGAAATATATCACGAAATAAAGAGTTAAGAATAAATAACTGATACAATTATGAAGCTTTTGATTTGGTGATTATGATGACACTCGGTAATCCAAAATTTATCTAATAATTTCACGGAAATCGATCTAATTTGAGCGTAATATCGATAAATATTGAACACATTTAGTAAATTTCTACATCATAATACAAGTGAAGCCCTTCAAAATTCATGGTTTATACTTATGAACGTTTTTAGTCGTCATGACTAGATTATTTCAAGTAAACATTTACTTTTAGTTGTTTCAAAGCTTTTGAAAATGGAGAATGAGCGCTCGAATCTCTTGGCTATCGTCAAACTTGTTGTACACGATCTAATTCAGCTTACATTTGATCAACATCAGGTTTCTCTTGATGAAAACATTTTCTGGGGTGAATCTAGGACTGTTCATTGTGAAGAGGTTCTAAATATTGTCTGGCGGTTGCTTTCTGTTGTTGAGCACTGTCTCTGTCATGGTTTACGTCGAGATTACACAATGCCTGACTCTTTTGACGACAACAATGAAAGAACTTCATCGAAAGGATTAATGAAGGATGCGACAACTGTCGTCCGAAGAGCACGTAATCATGCCGTTTCCGCTGCAAATATTTTTATGAAAAATTCGTCACATCCAAATCCTTGGCCCGTATTATTGGAAGCAGAAAAATTGTCAAAGACCACAGATTCTATAAGTAAAACTGTTGCTACGATGACTGAAATACGGACTGGACTAGGTCGCTCTCGCGTTTGGTTAAGGCACGCTTTAATGAGAAAGGTATTTCCCGCAGTTTTCGATCTTTTTTAAATGTAATATGTTATCAAGTCGGATTTGCTTCCCCTGAACTTATTTTATATGACAATCTTATTCTGAAAGAGTAGCATCGGTTATTTTTTCTCAAATTTGAGTTTTCATGTGTATAAGACTTTGGGCATTACGTTAGGTCTCATCTGCAGCAGAGCCTTACAGAAGTTTTTATATTCTTCGTTTATTACTGTAAAATAATAATTACGGTGTATCAGTCAATAAGTTTGCTTACAGGTTATGAAGACTTGTGAAATACTTCACTCTTAGCGCTTCTGGTAGGTAATTTTGCAAAGTTCGATTCATCATGAATTCCGAAATTTCTAGTCCAAAGTTGTGTACGTTTTCAAATTCTTTTCAGCTTCCTGTTTGATATATTGGTATAGTTCTCCTTATTTTGTCTTTTATAACCATTATTAATCTTTCTGAATGCTTATAGCGTACCTTTACTGATATTTATTCCTTCAAAACAAAATGGCAAAAATGAACTCGAGAGTAAGTACGTATCACATAAACAAGAAACTGTGACTTCCTAAAAATAAAATAACGAACGAGAGTTAAGTCAAAAACATTAAAGAATAATAATAAGTGAACAGTAGTATATAATGGGAGAAACTGTTCAGTTAGATAACAGCGTGAAAGGATTCTCTCAGTTAAGAGAATCAGTGAGTCAGCTACAACGTAGGACCAGGCACATATATGCATCAGCCCAAGTCGCCATACCTCATTAACACAACAAGATGAACACCGGATTCATAAAAGTAGTTAATTCAGAGGTGGTAATATATAAAAGAAAGATTGCAATAAGGATATAGTACAGGAAGAAAGAATTAGTTGGTAGAAAGAAAGATATGGAGCGATTTTAATATCATAGTTTAAGGGAAGACAGAGAGTGAATACACAGATGCCATTGTGATCGATTCTGAGCCATGTCACCAAGAGTCTCCAACCATTGGTTACGATAGTCACGCGGACCCCAACCAAGTAGTCTGCATCCACCAACATGGCTCGGACTAAACGTTAGTGTCTTCAAGCATTGATGTCACGTTTTGGTTTGGCCGCCCCTAACTTCCTTCCAACCATCCCCAACACTAGTCAGCATTGTACGTCGTGGTAATTGGTGTTCAGGCATACGTAACACGTGGCCCAACCGTCTCAGTCGATCTAGATTTACAATCTCATCAACTGGTTTACCATCATTCCCTAGTACCTTGCATCGAACCTCACTATTACTTAACCCGGTGATTCCAGCAGATGCCAGCTATATTTCTAAAACATCTGTGATCAAATACTAGTGACTTTCGAGTATCCTCTACCTTTAATGGCCACGTTTCGCAGCCGTAAAGTAGAACATAACGAACTGCCGCGCAGTATACTCGTCCCTTAATTGATAGACGGATATCTCGCCTTCGTCATAGGTGGTGATGGAATTATTTGGCAAACGCCAAGCGAGCTTTTCGAATCCGTGGTGAGATTTCGTCAGACACCAACCCATTAGGGTTGATGAGACTTTCAAGATTAGTGAAGTTGTCGACGCATTCCAAACATTCTGGCATTGTTGCTCAGTGCTACCAAAAGACTGCACTTTATCGGCGTCTTCACCAAGCAGAACTATGTCATCTGCGTATTCTAAGTCGATAAGTGGACCTCCTGGAAGAAGATCAATTCCTGAAATTTCAAATGACGAAAGCGTTATTTCCAGCAGTAGGTCTATGATGAAGTTAAACAAAAATGGAGATAGTGGACAGTCTTATCGGACATCACTTGAGGTTGCAAAATTACATGACAATTCGCCATAAGCTCTGACTCGACTAGTAGTGTTCGAGTAAAGAGCCTCCACAAGGTTTACGTACTTATGAGGTACACCTTTCAATGACAAACTGCCTCTCGGTCTATCGAGTCGAATGTTGCTTTTAAATCAAGAAAACCTATCATTGTCGGACGTCGATAAGCATGCCTGTATTCTGAAACCTGACGAATGTTAAATATCTGGTCGATGTAGTCACGACTAGGTTTGAAGGTAGCCTGGTTTTCTCGTGTTGGCAGTTCACGAGTCTTTGTTAGGCGCCCGATAATTATTGGGGCTAGTATTTTAGATGCTATGTTAGTCAAACTAATCCCTCTATGGATATCACAGGATGATTTTGACCCTTTCCTATGTATATTGGGATAATCAGTGATTGCAACCAATAAGATGGGATTACATCCAACTACTAGATCCTAGTTGAAATATTAGTCAATCTAATCGCTAAAATTGGACCATCATCCTTAAAGACCTCTGGAGCAAGTCCATCTGGACCAGTTTTTCTTCCTCGTTTCAGATTAGCTATAGCTTTTTAAGCTTAAACTAGAGTTGGGGGACCCACTTCAGTGATCCATTCAAGCTGTTTGGGAATGATGGGTAGTTGTAGAGTAGCTGAAGGCCAACTGAACTGCTCCTTAAAGTGTTCCACCCATCGTTTCGAACGCCTGAGATGAGAGTAGATGGAATTGCCGTCTTTTTACGACATTGTCTCACTTCCTGTTTCTTCCATTAGCCCGAAAGGCTGTTTTGTGTTACCTATAGCCACTGCCTTTTCCATCTCGTTTGCTTTCGTTGCCCACCACTGCTCACGATCGTTCCGTAGACGTTTACTTAACCTAGATCTAACTTGTTTTCGCTCTCCATCGTGTTCAGAGCCTGATGGGATGAGTTTACAAAAATATATCAGTGCAATAGATGTTTCAGAAATCCACTGGTTTTTCGTAACCCATTGGTTCAAATCACTAGTAGATCTCACTGCAGTTTCCACAGCTGTTCGTTGCTACCTTGACGTGGTGGTCGGGCTTGCCTATCGTGATGAAGCAACCGAGCTATACTGGCTGGAACAACCGTTCCTCAAGGTCCTACCATGTCAAACAGGTCGGTTGAAGAGCGGTAAGTCTAAAAGCAACAAACCCAAGGTCCGAAGGCGAAGTCGTACTGCTGACTGTACAGAGATGTGACATCAGTAAGGTGTTTCCTTCAGACAACCAGCATGACAGCGATGCTGCTTTCCCACAAGGAGGGGTGGGGTTAGAAAAGGTCGACCCTAAAAATGCACACCTCGCCTTGTCTCACGGATATCCGTCTCCAGCGTTAAAATCTCAACAAGTACGGAGCTAACACAAAAATTACGCTCTCAGGTCACTAAGACCACCTCTAATCCAATTTCCTTTTCAGGTACCTCCAGAAAAACCCTTCGACGGTGTGGGCAACCGGGAAGTGACAACCGCCCTCATACCTCTAACAGCACTCAAGACCACTGTATTCATAATCAACCTCCGTCCTTACTTCCTATTAATCTTCCTACATCGACTTTCACCTCTAAACGTCCTTTTTCGGCTTCCCCCTCAAGTGTCACCATAACCAACGGTTCTAGTGCTAGAAACACTGTCCCAGGTCTACTGAAACCTCGCTCCAAACTACACATTGGAGCCTTCAACGTACGCACCCTGCCAAATCGGTCAACAGGCTTCCTTGGCTAAAACCCTAGAATCTCGTACCATTGATGTATGCTGTGTCTCCGAAACACGCATACAGGATCCCAGTGTGGTCATTCACTTGACCTCACCTCGGCGAAACGGAGAGCCAGCGAGATAAACCCTCCGTGTATCTGAGAACCCGATTGCTAGTTCTCTTGGACTGGCAGGTGTAGGCATGGCACTAAGCATGAGGGCGGAACAAGCACTGCTAGAGTGGATCCCCGTCAACAGTCGTCTATGTGCTGTTCGGCTAAACGGCTCATAGATCTACTGATGGAAATAACTTTCTCGTCTACTGAATTCTCGGGTATTGATCTTCTTCCAGGAGGTCCACTTATCGACTTAGAATACGCAGATGATATAGTCCTGTTTGAAGAAGACGCTGATAAAATTCAGAGTCTTTTGGTAGCACTTTTGGTAGCTTCTCTCCCTCTAAATGCAAGTTTTTGCTTCAGGACTGGTCTGCGTCAACACCTGAAATAAGGATAGGGAGTTAAGTAGTCGAACGCGTTGAAAACTTCACTTATTTTGGAAGTCTGATCAGCCCTAATGGGTTCGTGCCTGACGAAATCTCACCACGGATTCGAAAAGCTCGCTTGGCGTTTGCCAAATAATTCCATCACCACCTATGACGAAGGCGAGATATCCGTCTATCAATTAAGGGACGAGTATACTGCGCGGCAGTTCGTTATGTTCTACTTTACGGCTGCGAAACGTGGCCATTAAAGGTAGAGGATACTCGAAAGTCACTAGTATTTGATCACAGATGTTTTAGAAATATAGCTGGCATCTGCTGGAATCACCGGGTTAAGTAATAGTGAGGTTCGATGCAAGGTACTAGGGAATGATGGTAAACCAGTTGATGAGATTGTAAATCTAGATCGACTGAGACGGTTGGGCCACGTGTTACGTATGCCTGAACACCAATTACCACGACGTACAATGCTGACTAGTGTTGGGGATGGTTGGAAGGAAGTTAGGGGCGGCCAAACCAAAACGTGACATCAATGCTTGAAGACACTAACGTTTAGTCCGAGCCATGTTGGTGGATGCAGACTACTTGGTTGGGGTCCGCGTGACTATCGTAACCAATGGTTGGAGACTCTTGGTGACATGGCTCAGAATCGATCACAATGGCATCTGTGTATTCACTCTCTGTCTTCCCTTAAACTATGATATTAAAATCGCTCCATATCTTTCTTTCTACCAACTAATTCTTTCTTCCTGTACTATATCCTTATTGCAATCTTTCTTTTATATATTACCACCTCTGAATTAACTACTTTTATGAATCCGGTGTTCATCTTGTTGTGTTAATGAGGTATGGCGACTTGGGCTGATGCATATATGTGCCTGGTCCTACGTTGTAGCTGATCGACTGACTGCTGTTCGTGTATCTTTTGATAGAACATCTGGATCAGTCTCTTATTCAGAACTACCTAAGTGTTACTTAAGTTGTTCCTGTAATCTGCTTTTGGCTTCCTCGTCACTGAGTTTAACTCTGGTGTGTCTTCTTAATGTGGTTTTTTTGCGTCCATCGAGGTGCAAGCAAATGCGTGCTCGTATTAGAGCATGTTTGCGGTTTAAAGAGGTATTCCATAATGAGTGACAGTTTTACATCGAGCCTGTTGAACGATGACTGATGGCAATGTGGTCTATTTGAGTCCATCGTTGGTTTGGTGCAGGGAATTGCCTTGTTAGACGATGTCTCTCCTTATGCTTAAAATGCTTAAAAATAAACGATTGCCTGAGCAAAGTTGCAGCAGACGGTCACCATTATCTAATCGTTGTGCCGGGATACTAAAATACCCACCTAAATGCCTTTCTGTTTGGTTTAAATTACCTATCTGGGCATTAAAGTCACCTGCCACGTGTACTATGTCTGAACGTTTAGCTTTCTGAAGAAGTTCAGAGAGCTTTCTGTAAAATTCATCTTTCACTTCATCTGAACTGCAGTCGGTGGGAGCGTAGGCAGAAACGACAAAAAGGCAACGACGTGTGTCCCTATCCTTCCGAGTCCATACGGAGCCGTTTAGCCGAACAGCACATAGACGACTGTTGACGGGGATCCACTCTAGCAGTGCTTGTTCCGCCCTCATGCTTAGTGCCATGCCTACACCTGCCAGTCCAAGAGAACTAGCAATCGGGTTCTCAGATACACGGAGGGTTTATCTCGCTGGCTCTCCGTTTCGCCGAGGTGAGGTCAAGTGAATTACCACACTGGGATCCTGTATGCGTGTTTCGGAGACACAGCATACATCAATGGTACGAGATTCTAGGGTTTTAGTAAAGGAGGTCTGCTGGTCGATTTGATATAGAGTGAGTACTTTGATGGCTCCAATGTGTAGTTTGGAGAGAAGTTTCAGTAGACCTGGGACAGTGTTTCGCGCACCATAATCGTTGGCCAGGGTGACACTTGATGAGGAACGTTAGAGTTGAAAGTCGGTATAGGAGGAATAATAGGAATTGAAGAGGGAAATTGATTATGAATACAGTGATCTTAAATGGTAGAGGTACGGGAGCGGTTATCACTTATCGGTTGCCCATACCCTGGAAGGGTTATCTAGAGGTACCTGAAAAGAAAATTGGGTTAGAGGTGGTCTTTTTGACCTGAAAGTGTGGCCGCAGTGCCCAATGGACAACTGCTTGAGGCCGGTCACACACGACCTTTTTGTGAGGAGTTTTCGTGTCACCTTCGTACTTGTTGGGACCTTACCGCCGAAGACGGATATCCGTGGTATAAGGCGAGTTGTTACAATTTGGACACGCGGGCAGTGTCACAGCCCTCACACAAATCAATGATAACTGTATAGCGTATATGTATTTGGTGCCATCTTGTAACTGTTTGTGTTCAACTAAAAAACAGTGACACCAAGTCGGTCGTCGTCACTGTGCCCGAACGCACACTGCTGAACCTCCTCATTACTAACATGGTGCTGCCACTAAATGTTAGCTATCTTTCAGGGACAATGAAGGGTGATTTATTTTGGCTCATTTAATCGTTTTCTTGATCTGATTCTCTCTTCGTCTATCTCTTCAAGAATCCTCTCCCTTTTTTGTATAGTGTATTACTATTTTGATACCACTTTATCTCAGTAATTATTTGTTCAGATAAGTAAACAAGTGTTGTGTGGATAGTGTGAGCTAACATGAACATTTTCTTCATTAGTAATCATCATCATGGTTTCGTCTGGTTCGGGATACTACCTGGGTAACCAAAGTTAAACAGGTACTCTTCTCCGGATGACACTCGTCAAAATTTTGAGTTACAATTTACAAGACAATAGGGTAATATAGTGGGGTGTAGTTCAATGCAAATTTCCTGTCCTAGGATTCTGAACCAATGTGGGCCATTGGTTTGGAATCAGGGTTTTCCAGCTAACTTAGGTGTATCCTATGTATTGCTCAAAATAAAAAAGCAGTAATCTTGTTTGTCCAGTTTCTTATTGAGGCTCTGTGCTGTCAAGCTTTAGAGATACAAACCTGTTAGCAGTGATATATTCCCATGATTTTATTCGTTTCTTTCGAAGTATATATATTGATAACGAGGATGCGAGGAGTAGATAATGACTCGGATTTCTGTCTGTATTTATGAGGTCCTTTTTACAGTCAAAATACCAGGATATCTAGGACTTAAGTGTCTAATATTTCACTTACCTCATCATGCATACTAGCTTGTAGTAATATAAATGGATTGCCCATAAAGCAAGAAAGTTAAATAAACGTTTGCGAAATTAGTTAGGAACCCTGCAACAAACCTGGTTGAAATATGCTCTGATTACACCAAGAAAAGATTTGTCAAAGGCAACATTGAGGTCTTGTGTATCGGGTACAAAAAAAGCTGAACGATGAAACTACAAAAACATTAGATGGTATTCCGTATTGGCAACCGTATTTAAAAATTTAGGGTGTATCTTATATATATATATATATATATATATATATATATATATATATATATATATATATATATATCTTACCATTACCGTAGCAGCTTGAATTGATTCACATTCATACCACGTAGTACGCTAGTTATGACTAATCACCGAAAAAGGGATACGACTTTGACTAGTTAGTTTGTAAGATACACCCTAAATTTTTAAATACGGTTGCCAATACGGAATACCATCTAATGTTTTTGTAGTTTCATCGTTCAGCTTTTTTTGTACCCGATACACAAGACCTCAATGTTGCCTTTGACAAATCTTTTCTTGGTGTAATCAGAGCATATTTCAACCAGGTTTGTTGCAGGGTTCCTAACTAATTTCGCAAACGTTTATTTAACTTTCTTGCTTTATGGGCAATCCATTTATATTACTACAAGCTAGTATGCATGATGAGGTAAGTGAAATATTAGACACTTAAGTCCTAGATATCCTGGTATTTTGACTGTAAAAAGGACCTCATAAATACAGACAGAAATCCGAGTCATTATCTACTCCTCGCATCCTCGTTATCAATCTGTAGATATTGCGGTAATAAATTTTCCAGCTGGTAACTCCAATACAAAAGTCTAATTCGCTAGCGCCAAAAAAGTCCTCGATTTATCCTTTACAAAACCTAAGTTGCTTTTATGTGGTTATCCAGTAGTTTTATTGGAATTTCATTTTTATTTCTTATAGCAACTAGGAGAGTTTTTTCAAGTCATAATAGATTCCATCGATTCTTCCAATTCAAATGGGAGTTTGGAGAGTTCTCCAAAAGTCTGTGAAAGCAACACAATTCCTGTAACACAAAATTCCAGTACATTTGCTACATTTTATCACTCTGGTGCTTTGCTTTTAAATAACGAAGGAGTTGTCGTAACCGGTTTGTTAGCAACTTTGAAGTCTATAGACTTTTGCTTCATACTGAAAGATAATCTGTCTTACATGGATAAACCGGTTTGTCTTTTAATGTTTAAAAAGTTTTTTAATATCCATTTCTATATATAAATTTAAAAGTAACAGAGAATATCGGAAAATTTCGATTTTGCACCTTTCTAAATGGTTTGTGTTCAGTTCCTCGAATCATCGGCATAAATGCTACATGTGTTGAGTGACAATAAATACCTTTTGTTGTTATTGTGAGCCATTCAAAGTCCACCATTGCGAAAATTTTCAATACTGCTCCATTGGCTTACTAGTTAAATTTTTAAGAATTGAGTCCTTGGGGTTTGTTTCAGAGACCGATTTAAAATATTCACAGTTTGAATAAACTAACTGTTGAACAGTTTTGAGTTTTTTGGATGTTCAGACTATCTTATGCTTTAATTGTTCTGTTCAACAGTCTTCCACTTATTTCCAAAAGGCTTTTATAAGTTTGAATTGTTCTGCATTGGTTAGTTGTCTATATTTAATTGGTTGGTTGCAGTTAGGATTTTATTTGATTTACTCCTATAAAGCCACGAGCAAAGGAGCGTGCAACTCTGTTTGACAGTCTAATGGGACCATCGCTCTGCTCAGAAAATGATAAAGACATTAAATCGTTAACGAATTATTTTAAAAAATAAGAACGTCGCAGCAATCCATTTTCCCGAATTGTTCTGTAGATTTTGCTAAAATGAAGAGTGTCACAGGAACTGTGGACAACTCACCGATGCGTCTCATCCCGGCATATGGGAATCTATTGATGCGACAAAAAGTAACAGCCTAACGCATTGGAAATAGAACATGTGATAAAACATAAAATACAAGTGAGCAGGATCATGCATTAGACTGGCTGTTGGGGATTATGAAGAAAAAACAGACCCATGCCGGACTATTTACACGGAGTAGCACACAATTTGAATTTGCGTATCTCTATTTTAATGCTCTCTCGAATCACCCTTATTAATCCTGTCCTTTATTGATGTGAGCTTTTTCTGACAGTACCCTTTGTGTGTTTCCTTATTGAACGATTCCCTTTTCTCGAAAGTCAGTAAATATCCATTGATTTTTATTTTCAGTTACACGTAATACCGTACCACATATATTTACAGGCTAACTTGAATAGACTTGAAAAGTTATATTCAAAAGTAAAGTAAGTTTTTGGATGAAGTTTGGCTGTGTTTGCTTTGACATGTTCAGGGGTATTTTATGTATGTATAATTAGTTATCAGTAAAACATCGTTTCTGTTGTTTGTTAAGACAGTCAACTTTATCATGCATGAGGATAGTGTGACGTGTCTGTGAAATAAACGTCAAATGGCGAGTAGCAACAGGATTTGTTGTTTAGGAAAGATATGTTTATTCTACGAATTTATGGATTCATACACGTATTACTTGAGGTGGTAATATTTGAACTAAGTGATATTCTCTTATCGTCTAAATTACTCACCCTTCAAGGTGAATTAGGCGTCATTCACAAGATCTCAAGGCCAACGTAGGGTATTATGCGGTTAATTTTTAGTTGCGATACTACTACAGTCTCTACAGATATAGTAATTTTGATGATTAAGAAAGTGTGAGTCCTTGGTTCCTCTGAAAAGTTATTGCTCTTATATTCAACATACGAAAGTTTTATTGGTTGCATTATAATTACAAATTACAACTTTGATGTTAATATAAAATAAATAGAATATGACTAACACTGTAATACAGGACCCACTTTTCTTATTTATGTCTCATCAGCTGGATATACCCTCGCAAAATTGATCTATTTTATATTAACTTTTGTCAATGGCTATATCGAGGCGATTCTCACAGGATACACGTACGTCGAAAAGAGACTGAACAAATTTCAGTTAAAACACGGAAAACATGGTAATCCAAACCATTTGAAGTCCAGTTATAACTTTCAAGTTGTTCTTTAGTGAAATAGATAAAACATCTTTGTCGGTAAATAAAATGGTTAGTAACAGGATGCTAATGGAACATAGATCTGATTAAAGCATGCTCAATGCACGATTGCTTTGGTGCACGCTGATTGGCTAATTCTTATCCAATCAGCGTTAGCCAATACTTAGTGAACACTAGAAATCTCATGTGAAAAACTATAAATATACTAACGTTTTCCCTATTGCACTTACTTGCTTCTTACTTCCATCTAACCTTGTTATTTGGAATATGATCTCTTTTCCTGCACAACCGTGTTCTGATTTGGGGGACTTGTCGAGTGAATCGATGTCCGAGAATACTAAGCAATAGGAATAGCTGGGTTATAACCGTAAGAGAGGATTATAACAACTCTACAATCTTCTCATGTAAAAACTATAAGTATACTAACGTTTTTTTAGTTGTGCTTCTTACTTCCATCCAACCCTGTTATTTGGAATATAATCCCTTTCCTGTTCAATCGTGTTCTAATTTGAGGACTTGTCGAGTGGATCGGTATCCAAGAATACTAAGCAATAGGAATAGCTGGGTTGTAATAAGAGAGAATTATAACACAGGATGTTTTAGATACGATTTCTGAGTGTAATTTGTATATCTACATCATTTGTAAGTCTTCAGTTAGTAAAAGCACTGACCATATTTACAAATAAGTATTTTGATCAGGATTGTGTAGCGTGGACTACGTAGTTATGCTTCTGAATTTAAGTTTAGATTGTCTGAAATCATACGCTGAGTTTTGTATACAGAGGTAACCATCAAAGTTGAAGAAATATCTGGACCGCAGCAGGAATTAGATAAGCGACCTCTAGGTAATCCATTCACCATTATATCAATTGAGTTTCAAGACTTAACTACTCATCATGTCTCAATTTCACAGAAAATGTGGGTAGAACATTTGATATTTTCATTACTATTTTAGGTGTTGTTCTGTGTGCATTTAAAACTACTCCATGATCTCAGATGTACAGATGAAATCTAAATCATCCAAATCTGTCCTCAATCATAAACAATGCATAGATTTTTCGTTTTGTCATTTATTAATATGTAAAATCCCGGCACTTTCGGCATAATTAATCACTACATTACACAAATATATAAAATGCGTAAAATAGTTTGGTGGTAAATAACTAGGTAACTAATATTAAATTCGGACTACTTATATTTAGTTACCCTCCAATAGGTAAATTGAAATGACGATAAAGCAATGAGACGGAGTTGATTAAAATAGCTCCGTCTTCTGATTACTCTATAGAAATTTATAAAACGGACTAACTGCTTTTAATTGAAATGAATTACTTCATTCTAAACAACTAACTGTAACTATGATATATTCTGGAGAGTTTGTAGATTCAAACTGTCCAATTATCTCACAGTTCTCATCTGGATTTGTAATTTACTAACAACTATAAGATTAAGACAACGACCCCCTATTTCACTGAATTACTATAAAAACAGAATGATTTGCTTATTCTTATCGATCGTCTTTGTAATGTCTGTTTTCAGAATGTTTTTAACTATAATCACACAAAATATACATATTTAATTTGTTTTGAAGAAGTAAACCCTAATTCTATTCGTAAATTTTATTATTCTCTCTGCAATGACCAGTCAACGGAGGGAATGTTAGTTATAACCTAAATTTTCAAGCTATCTCAGAAAGAAAATGTTCATAAAATGGTAAAATCAATTTGTAAATCCTTTTACAATCTAGGATTAGACTGTATCAGTGAAGTTTCGAATTTGTAATTTGTATACATGTAGAAATATTGTGTAGGAAAACTCATTACATATATCAGAAATACATATATATCATTATAAATAAATAGGCAAACAAATCATGTATTGAAACTACAAAATTTCACTGATTAGTCTTGTTAAGTCTCCTTATTCCACCTAGTGCATTGGGACAATCGACTTTATCTGACTGGTTTTTACATCAAAAAACATCTTGGTTAAAGCACAAATATATTTCAAACAAAACAATAATTTAGGTTACAAAATGTCAGTGTACATATAAATTTCACACAAAAATATTCTCGAGTTAGAAATAGACCAATCAGTCTGCTCCAACATAACGTTGTTTGAAACAAACTCCGAACAGGTTACTGTCTTAATAACATGTCTTTTACATTGAACATTCTCTTACTCAGCCCTTAATAATTATTACTAAAATCCTCAACTGACTTCTGTACTGATTACATAATTACATCATCAAGTCAGATACATTATTTTCCACTAATTTTTAATCGACTATAACATCTAATAAGGATTAAGTGTTGACTATTTGTAAAACCGTTGTGATACATTTTTGTGGATATATTATTTATTACTCGAGCGATAAATACTGAGAAGGAATTTTTCATTTTAGTTTATGTCGTCCAGCAGATTTATCATCTTCAATCGACCAGAAGAATTTTTTAGAAGATTTATGCAACGTACTGAAGTAAGTTTCGGTATTTTAATTTGTAGCAGCATTTATTGCTTTCATTGTTTATGAATTCACAAACGTGTTTCATTGGTCCAAGCACATAAGTGTCAATCACTGGTTTATTGTCAATGTAGAACTTTACAGTTTGTGTATATCACTTTGAGGGTCCTTGCAAATTGGTCCGTTCAAAGAACAGAATTTATTCATAAAGGCCTTTAAAACGGAATGTTTTACACTTCTCCATTCTCTTGTTTGGCTTTACAAACTAACTTTCACCGGTCTCTGCTGATTTCAGTGTTTGGTGTGAATTCCTTTGGAAACTAGGAATGAGTGCAAGTGTAATAAATTTCTAATCAGTTCTGAAAGGCTTTCATTCTAACTGTTATCTAAGATTGTACTAAAAATGTTCTTTTCAAACATAGTCCTTTCTATTGTTTATTTTGCGTATATTTCTTGTTTGAGATATTTCCTGTCACGTATGTTGAATTTTTATTACTTGAATTCATGAGTCGGTGTAAGCTAGACCACCATTAAAAACCTGGAAGCACTAGACGGCCATTTTGTCCTCATCCGGGTCTTCTCAGCAGTGAACACCCACGATCCCTCATGTGGGACTCGAGAGCAAACGCTTAACCTCTCGACCATCGAGCCGTCATCCAATGGTATTAATGTCTAACTTCAATCTATCCATGATCTTGCGCAAGCATTCATCCATTGTTTGAGGTAGATACCTGTCTCTACCCGACACGGACTGGACTCCACTGGTCACGGCTTCTCACTAGAACTCCAGGAAATCTAGTAAGCACATGCAGTTTTGTTTAGTTGCGGTGATATTCTTCAGTTGAAACTGTACATAAGCTTGTCCCTCAAACCGTGCCAGAAAACGTTTATTCACATTTTTGAAATAAACAATTGGAGCAGATGAATCACTGAGCATACTTATGAATAATATTTTGCCGAGATGATCATTTCCAAATAAATACTTCCATTCAGTTAATTTTTTTGTTTTACCAAATAAATTTTGTCCATCAAATCCTTTTTAAGGAAACGAATCGATCGAGAAAATACAATAAATCAAAGACTAAACAATGAAATTACACACCTTTCTAAGCAGATGGAATCCATGAAGCTTGAAAATCGGAGTTTGTATATCACCGTAGCACAACTGAAAAAGGACCAAGTTGGTTTAAATAACATGCATTCAGAAAATATGGTAAATGTCAGTGCTTTATTTGTATAAATTGTATGAAAGAACTTCACTGAAATCATGCACCGATCAATGTTAGACCACTATAAAAAAACTGGAATTTCCAGGTGGTCTAACATTGATCGGTTTATGATTTAAATGGAACTCAACAATTTCCACAACCCTATATTTATATTAAAGAATGTTTAAAAGTAAATCACTGTTAAATTAACTTCTTACTATGTCTTAATTACAATCTTGCCAGTTTAAAACAAACGGACGTTTAGCACCGATATTAGGGTACAATGTAACCACCACTTAATGCCAAATTTAATCTTCTTAATAGCTCACGATTATTCAGTACATATCATACATATCCACCAGTTAATTTTGAATTGACTTATTATAGACTGACTATACTTCACTTCTGTACACCCCGATCTGTTTAAAAACTTCGTTTTATCACTTTGTTCCAAGTCTCTCAAAATGTTATTTACTAGTTTTGTTTCATGGAACATTTTTAATACTTAGTCCTACCAAGCTTCTGTTTTAGTTTTTTCGTCACTGATGAAAAAAATGTGTGGGTGGTAAAAATGTTTTTCAATTCCATGACTTATACGTACATTCTAGCTGTACAGAATATTCAAATGGGTGCTAGAAGATTTACTACTAGTATAAGGATTCAGTAGTGGTAGGATAAAAAATCTAATCTAAACAGCTTTCTATAACATTTGGATTGTTTGTTACGCATCTTTAGTCACTCAATTAAAATATCTGTTTAACTTTCTATTTAATGAATCGACTCTTTATACGAAAAAAACGTTTGTAATTTTAGTTTATCACTTTATATCGGACAAATGTTTCGAAAATGATACTGATGATTTTTGTTAATAAACCATTCTGCTAAGCTGTAGAAAATTATTTGGTCAAATTTCCTGCTAATTGAACAATTTGCGATATCATTTCATTATTTAGGCACTTCACACATATCATTTGACTTAAACAGACAACTATCATCGGCCAGTGGTTGTGACCGATGTTAAGCCACTAAGGCACATGTCCGAACCCTGCTCCACGTACTTCAGTATGTACAACCGGATATTTTCATAAGCTCTCGTATGTAATGTGGCTCGAAGTCAAGTGTATAAATTTCTAGTCGGTAAATGAGTTAGGTACTCTGAAATATTTGGTGTTGCTGATATAGTGAGGTTTTTTTCGGCTAGGAAAGATGATCTTAGTGACGTTGTGTGTTTAAAAGTTGCCTGGCCTCCTTTGTAATTTTTCAGTCCGAAGCTCCTCTCTTTTCTTGGCCGGATTTATACCCACATCTATTGAGATCCAGTGTCGCTTTTCCTTCTGTTCTGTTAGTAGATGGGTGCTTGTTTTGTGTTTCTTTATCATCCTCTCCTCCATTTCGCTGTATTGGAATTAGGAAATATTTCGTTAACAATAAGATAATTTTAAGTTTCCTTCTTCTGTATGTCTGAATTGGTGTAAAGTAAATTAAGTGGGATAAATCCTTTACGATATATGGGTTTATGGTAAACGTTCTAAATCCAACTCATCAGGGTTTATGAGTGTATGACTAAATACGACTCCTAAAATAAAACATGTATAGCAGTCCAGTTCAAATTTAATGAGTTTTTCTGAAAACTACATTTAAGTTTACTGTAAGATTATAGTCCAGCAGTTAGAAGTACTTTAATTTTGTAATAATAAATGCTCTGTTATTTAATTCCCCATCCACTTATTGTGTATTTCAATTATCTAGGAAGCAGTGAGTCGCATAAATCAATTAGAGTCTGAATTAAAAAATTGCCAAAAGACAAATAAAGAAAATGCTGAACTTGTTGAATCGATTCGAAGTCATTTAGATGAATCAAATAAAAGATGTAATCAGTTAACCCGATATTTATTCGTAAGTGGTTTGCTTTATTTTCTGCACAGTAGAGTCTAACTTTTTCTTTGAATGATATTATGAAAAAATCGTTGAAAGGAAGTCATAGATTTGTTCACAGATCTTACTCTTTTGTGAATACCATCTGGATTATATTTTTTAAATTCAAAATTGAACAACTAAGTGTTGTAGCTCTACAGGTAACACGATGTTCTCTGGTGTTATAATTCTCTCTTATTGCACTCCAGCTATTCCTATTGCTTAGTGTTCTTGGACACCGATTCACTCGACAAGTCCTTAAATCAGAACACGGTTGAACAGGAAAGGGATTATATTCCAAATAACAAGGTTGGATGGAAGTAAGAAGCACAATCGAAAAAAAGTTAGTATATTTATGGTTTTTACGTTAGGAGATTGTAGTGTTCTCCAAGTATTGGTTAGCAGTGATTGGATAAGAATTAGCCAATCAGCGTGCAGCAACGCAGTCGTGCATTGAGTATGCTTTAATCAAATCTATGTCCCGCTAACACCCGGATATGCATATACACTGGTGTTAAATATCGTTAATCGCTTAGCATTAAATGTATTTCTTTAGTCTCTGGGATTTCTTAACCTAGTAGAACCTCAGAATACAGGACTTTAAAGAATCAAGTCACTACTCAGTAAGTAATTTGTCTGGATTCTTATTTTACGTGAATTAGAATTACGACTATAATTCAACTGTGGATTTTCACAAAACGCCATCATTACCACATCCTCTTGATTCTGACGGTAATGTCAATTATTCCTTAACTTGTTCCATTATTTTAAATCGCGTGTTGCTTCATCAGTTTTTTTGCCCGTAGTCTTACCACCCGGAGGCTCCATGCCCCCAAATGCCCTGGTATGGCCGAGAGTGGGGTGCGCCCGCCCCCCTCTCAAAATGCTCCCACACCACCTACGGGGGTGTTGTTTACGAAGATGAGAGGACAAAAAGCGAATGTTCGGCGCTTTAACCAGATCTCAAACCAATGGTGCATATGGGCCCTAGAATCCTGCGAGAACAAATGGCGTATGGACCAATTTTTGGTCACCAGCTACCATGGGACTGCATCTCCTCACAATGCTCCACTGCCTTGTGGGTTAGACGTTTAGACCAAAGACTCGGGGTGTGCCCCCCTAAGCAAACCGCCTGCTTCGGTCCGGGCACCCGGGCAGTATCACAGCCCACACACACAAATATGGTGTGGCGCATATATATTTGGTGCCCTCTTGTACCAATATTTATGTGTTGAAATAAATAATAATAATAAGTGTTACCGTATGTTATTTAGTAAATATGACACATTTTTAACAATTCTATAATCGCATCATTACTTATTTTATTGATTGAGTCACTCATCTGAATACATAAATAATGCGACAACTGGGCATCAAAATAATTGTTCACCATACAAACAAGTGAATGAATTCTCGAAGAGATAAATGATGAAAAGTGAATCTAGTCCAAAAAATAATTATGTGAAAATAAATGAACAAAACTGGTACATAATGAAAGAATCAGTTCAATTAGATAACAATCTGAAAGGATTCACTCAGTTAAGAGAGTTTCCTTTCCTCCAATGGTTCATATTATGAGCCATGTCTGATAACGTCAGAATTCGTTGAGTTGTGCTATCTCTGAGAGCCCAACTAAGGTAGTCGTTATGGACCAGCAGGTGATATGCCCATGAAGCTTTCTTTCATCTCACAGTTTCATGTCATAAACTGACTACCCTCTTTTTCTGACCAATCCCAACGTCAGTAAACAGATCAAGATGTTGAGTTCGCTCTGATGACGTTCGTGGCACTCATTTGAGCCACCGTAGCTGGTGTCTCTAGGCAGTGACACCAAGTCAGTCGTCGTCACTGTGCTCGAACACATACTGTCCAACCTCCTCACTACTAACGTGGTGTTTCCACTGAATGTTAGTTATCCCCATACAGTAAGACGATATTATCCAGATACTGGAAATCAAAAAGCCTTGCTCCAGGTAACAGATCTACATGTTTACTACCATCAGAGCTGCTTCCGGAATCCTGTCAGTGGCAAAGCTGAGGAGGAATAGTGAGATTGGATAAGCTTACCTTAATCCGCTACCGGAATGGAAAAATGGTGAGAGGTGGTTGTATGTTTTCACTTTATCTCAGTTATCTGTGTACAGAGCCTTCAAGATGTCGACAAACCTGTCATCTACATCTTGTTAAGACAGGCAATACCGGAGTACACTTTGTTCAAGGAGTCTAAAGCGACCATGTCATCACTCATATTACTTCGCTAGAGTTTTGAACACCTGCCTCGAAGATGCAGCAGATGTCGACATCACGACTTTGTAAACAAATAACCAAACGTATGTGTTATCTGGTCTGCATTCAGGTGGGAACGTTGGAGGTCAGTTTAAGTAATACACGTAGTTTCAGAAATGCTGATCCAGATTCCGTATTTGGTGGCAACATTCCGAATTTCGACCCGTTAGCAACCCGAAATAGTTTAAACAGTACAGACCTTCAACCAAAAATCGACTATTTGAAAGTTAATAAAACTATTAGGTTATGAAAGCCCGTTTTTATGGACTGTAGTAATTTGGACTCATTCTCCGACATTTATTTTGTACAGGAATATGATTGTTTTAAAACACTGTCGTGGTATATAAATGTTACTATCTATTTATTTTCAAAATATACATTTTGTTATCTAAATACTCATATTTTGTGAAAGAGAGGCAAACAAGTCACTCGTTAAGTTATTTTTCACTTAGAATATTAAACCGAAAATTCATAAGCTTATCATTGCATATTAATAAATGTCTGTAGATCCATGTGTTGTGTAACTATATTTAATCCAATGTATAACCATTTGACCATTGGACTGGTTTCTAAAACAAAATTTCTTAAAAACTATACGTGTTATAAATGTGTAGTGAATTCAGTAAGATGAGTTCACTTCATCCTATAATGTTCGTAAGTTTATATATTATTACTACCATCATTTTTAACATGTTCAGTTTCACGAACTCGCAATCTAAATGTACTCTATTTCTTTTTTTCTATAATTAATTGTTTCAGGATTCCCAGTCGTCACTTGAACATAAACAAACTATAATTAAACAATTAGAAGCTAAGTGTAAAGGAATGACAAATATGATTGAACAGATGAACGAGAGGTAAATATGGATAACAAATCTGTTTTATTAAACCTTTGTCCATGAATTACTGGACTCAAAGCAAGCTATTGTTTTGTTAATAAAATTATATTAAGTATTAGTTTTTTATTGTTATGTTACCCTGGTTTGTCATTATAGATTCACCCAAAGTAAATTTCGATGAATGAGAAACACAACTGGTTCTTTAAAACCAGAGTTTCATGAAGATAATTACCGTTAAGAAATATGTATGTATAAGCTTGATTAATCATCTGTTTGATTTTTATTAAAACACTATGGTGCACTTTTGTAAACATCTAATTTCTGGTTGTGAGTGTATGAAGTCTTTTTGTCTAATCCTACGCATTTTTGTTGTCACTTTTTCCTTTATGTTTTTGAGATTCAGTTCACTCAGTTGCTGATCAACATTTGCTTTCTGCATATATTGTCTGTTTATACCGGATTTATGTATGAATTTAGGATTCAATAGATTAGGAATTGAACAAGTATGTTTACATGTTTGAATCATACTTCATTTGCATAACTTTTGGGCAATCAGATAGTATGTATTAGCCTCTTGCAATATGTGATTTAAATGTACACAAATTATCGCTTACTTAGTGAGCAAAACTTTTAGTTTCCCAAACTATATTTGACTCTAATTTTAACTCCGATAACTTGGATAACTGAAACACCATTATGATATAAGAAACTGAACATGTTTTCTTTCATAATACTCAACTCAAATGTTCAGATTATCCTTCAATTCGCATGGTCTCATAATTGAGTCTAATTGAAGCTTCCTGGATTATAATTTTTGTTAATATCTGGAAAAAATCTGAGTACGAAGAAATATTATACAGTTGTTTCATCCATAAAGTCATGAACTGACGGTTTGAGCTGTATGAGGAAACTAAGCGTACTGTTTTAGGCTCATTTAATGGTTTTAATCTACTGTTGACTTTGTTAAGCGATATGAGACATGATGATTTATTGGTTACAGCTAGTAACTTTTAACCATTAGTTCTCAAATACAAACCTCTCAATAACTACTTTGGTTTGCGACAATTGTATACTATCAGAAACTCACGCAAACACTGTACCTCGAAGCTGACCGCTTAATCCTGTAGTTGGTAGATAAGTCGCGTTAGTTTAAGGATTGACATAATGCAAAATTGATTACAGTAAGTGCAGATTGGTTTATTATTTTTCCCATAAATTGTGAGTTCTAGCATCGACTTATGTTTCTTACTTATCGTTTTTTTTCGAAATATATTTCCTATCTTATTTCACTGACTCCATCGAGAACACAATTTCAACTCTTTCACCTTAAATCTTATTTTCCTTACACTGATGATGCGTAATGTTACTACTTAAACCAATGCAAATTTATGTCTATTTCTACGTTCTCTATGATTAACAGACGAAACAGTAGTGTATTTATGAAGGCTTAAGTAATAAATATTATGTAATCCTAATAACTAATATATATATATATATATATATATATATATATATATATATATATATTCCGTTTTTTATTTAACAGTTTTTCCCCTTTTTGTTTACACTTAGAATAGCTAAGCTTACTAATGAAAAGGTTTCACAGGAACGAGATTTATATAAACTACGCGAAGAGTTGTCAAACGCAGACACAAAATCTGTTGAGCAGTTAAAAGTGATTGAAAATCAAGCTAATCAGATCGAAAGATTAAAAACTGAATTGAATGAGCAAACAATCGAGTTGAATAATTCAAAGATGGCTTCTGACCAGCTAGTTTTGTGTAAATTAGTAAGATTAATTAATTGTATACATTTTAATATTACAGTCATTATTTCTATTCAATAAATCCTATTTCAGTGATGATTTTTGGTGATAATTCATTGTGTAATTTATGCTAATGTCAGGAGAAAACTTCACTAAAAACATGTGGTTTGTTTACTTTTTTTTGCTTTTGTGTTGTAAACAAGTGTATTACTTTCTTCTAAAATTGATGTGCATGAAGTTATAGTTTGAAGCTTGATGGATTGTGGACCTTTCATGCCATAAAGTCACCCGTATTCAGCTTAGAACCTGGCTCAAATGTGCGTTTGATTAAGTTGCTACACTACTTTAGCACGAGATGAAGTTAACACGATAAATAACTAAGGAATGGAAGTGATCGATTCTGAGTCATTCAAAGTCTCCAGCCACTAATTCCAGTTACCGGGTAAACCCTAACCAGGCATTTTGGACCTGCCAACAGGGTCCAGACGAACGATTATGGATAATGTCATGTTCTAGTTTAGCTACTCCTACATTTCTTCCAGCTTACTCCTACACCAGTTAACATTACAAATCGAGGTAAGTGGTGCTTAGCCATGGGCAGCATACGAAAATTTACAGTCTCATCAACCTGTTTGTTACCTTTACGTAGTACCTTTTGTGTAACTTCAACATTACTCACTCTGTTTTTCAATGAAATGCCATTAGTTCCTTGAAGACATCTTTGATCATATATCCTTGGTTTAATTAAGAGAACCTTCGTAACTACTATGGTTGTTTTCCAATATTAGTAAATTGAGGATTTGCTTGATTTACTTTTTTTTTCTCAAAGAACAGTAGTGGTTCTTATCATTCATTATTCATTGTAGATTTTGTTTTCCTTCTGTACACTAGTTGTTTCTTTCTCTTCCTACGTACAGATTTTGATGGCTTCTAATCTATCAATGTTTTTCAAATGAGAGATCTGTATGTAATGACAATAAATTATCAATATCAGTCTCAAAAATTCATCCTTTATCAGTGGTCTTCCCAAAAGCTTTATGGTAATTTAGAGATTTATTCAGTCAGCTTGTTAAGTCAACTCATCGGGCTTTCTCTTCAAGTTTAATCTTATCTGCAAAGCTTTTTTACTGACAGTGTCTCGTTAAGTGAAGACATCCAGTTTTAAGAACTATTATAATATTTGTCTCAGTGCTTTCATTTTTTTTCGAATTTATTTATCGTACATTTCTTTTTGTAAGTAGTATTTGTGTTTTTACCAAGACCTTTAGATATTTTTCAATTTACTTGGAAGAACATTAAATTTTGAAGATAGATGAACTGTGTGATCTCAGTAGTTTGTCACATAACCTCTCAGTGTATAGATAATTTGAGAGGTTAATTTAATTTACTTTGCATCTAGTTTCGTCTAAATTGATTAAAAATCTATTTTAATTTGTTTTCATGTTCCACCCTCCTATGGTATTATGTACTGTCACCTAAATGATGGCTTAAATCAATTTTCTTTTCAAACCACAATATTCCTTACTTTGCTGACACAGAAAGTCTGTATTTAAAGATCAAACAAAAGGATATTCTCAGAATGGGTTTTGTGGAGAGTTCTGGAAATTTCACAGGTTGAAATCATGAGTCAATTGAAGCTAGACCACCATAGAAAACCTGGAAGCATTGGACGGCCGTTTCGTCCTAGTATGGGACTCCTCAGCAGTGCGTATCCACGAACCCGCCCCCCCACGGGATTCGAACCCAGGACCTGCTGGCTTCGCGCGCGATCACTTAACCACTAGACCACTGAGCCGGCATCCAGTGGTGTTAATGTCTAACTTCAACCAATCCACGAAGTTGCGCCACCGTACACCATTGTCTTCAGTGAGTTGTTATCTCACAACAGATCCCGCGTGGTGCGGGGTCGTAGATGCGCACTGCTGAGGAGTCCCATACTAGGACGAAACGGCTGTCCAGTGCTTCCAGGTTTTCCATGGTGGTCTAGCTTCAATCGACTCATGATTTCAACCTGTGAAAAGGATATTCATTCGATGTAGAATTTTCGCGAGATGTTAGATTTTAGTTTCTTTACTATTTCAGTTCTATTACTTATAGACCGGTTCATTTTATTGCTACGGTCACTCCAATTAATAATCACAACATGGATATTTCAGTTTTGTGTCGATTTTCGAAATATTAGTTTTCGCTCTCTACTTTTTACTGTGAAGTTCATTATTTTTCACTGATAACTGTGGTCAGTCGAAGTTATTTTACAGCATTACATCATATGATCGTTCATTAATTTTTGCTTTCTAGGAAGTTGAGGAGTTAGACAAACAACTTAAAGTCTGGCGTAAACGGTGTGAAGAACAGGAGTATAGTTTATCCGAAATGGCTGCGGTTGTGAATTCGAGTAAGCTTGAAGCTGAAAGTTTGCGTGAGTCACATAGTGCATTTAGTGATGCTCAATGGGCAAATGATTCTGAAAATCCAAACTGTTTTCTTTGTCAGAGTCCGTTCAATGTTAGTCGTCGTCGGGTATGTTGTTTCTGTATGTATAATAATTAGAATTCCCATTTATTCGTAAGAAACAATTATTTCGAATATCTCTTCTTGTTGTGGGACCAATGATAGGATAGTTACATACTGATTTACGGTACAAATCATAACGATGATGAGTTATCATTCTTGGATTGCTTAGTAAAAAGAAATCCAAATGGAATTCTGAACCTATCCATTTACCGAAAACCTACGCACTCAAATCGTTATATTGACTTTCATTCAGCACATCCTTTTAATGCTAAGATCTCGCTAGCATTAAATCTTTTTAGGAGAGCTAACAAGATCATCACATCAGAGGAAGACAAACAAAAGAATATAGTTAGCATCTTACAATTTAATAATTCTCCTATGAAGATTATCAGCAGTATATTAAAACAAGACAGTTTAGTACGTTACAATAATGATTCGAATGAAATGCTATGGATTGGTACTGCAGTTCTACCATACCGTCATGGCACAACAGAAGAACTTCAAAGAATCTTGAAACGACACAGAATTAAAGTATATTACAAAACAACGAAATGACATGACATTAACTTGTTCAGACCTGTTTTCGATTGATCAAATATTATTCTTATTGTTCCGTTGTACTATTTAAACTTGGATTAATTTTACTTTGGTTATTTGTTCTCTAAAGAAGTGACTTACACTAAGTCACGAAAAGTCAGATAATGTAATTTTCTACTCATTGGGATTTTACAAATATATTATTTATATATGATTTTTAAGGTAGATTAAACCAGGTTTGAGTTTATGATTTTTGTGTCCAATTTAAACACTAAACCTGTTGAGTTTACACTTTGTAATAATTCCTTGTTGATGTTGACAATGCTGCTTTCGATGTATTGTCTAGTTGGCGTAGACATGACATTAAATAAAACACTAGTGACCTATGATTCCTAACAACAGATCATGTATCATAAATTTTATTGACTGGATTTAATTATTTGATCACTAGAATCGGTTAGATACACTTCTAAATTTCAGTATCGGGTTGTGAAGGTTGTTGAATTTTGATTGAGATCATGAATGAACCAATGTTAGACCACCTCTGAAAACCCGGAAACACTCGATGGCTGTTTCGTCCTAGTATGGGACTCCTCAGCGGTGCGCATCTGCAATCCCACGTGCGCGACCATGAATACGTAGTTCTGAGGAGTCCCATACTTCTAAATATCTTCATTGATTCCATCGTAAATGGTTTGGACGACTTGGAAAATCTGACCTTTTTATCATAAAACTAATGAATATGAATGTTTTTCCGATTCTCGCCTTATATTTTCCAGTTTCTCACTACCTTTTATTTTCAAAAAATACAGTTTAATTATCCATTGTACATATTGTTCAACACGAACATAATGTAATGTACAATCAGATCTAACTCGGATAGTATCTGTTACCAACTATCATGAAATAACTTTATCGTTTTTCTATTATATGAATTACAAGGTGTCAATCTACCATTTGTATTTTCTCAATGTCTTCCAAACATTATAACCCACCTATGGGATAATAAATCTCAAATGGACTCGAATAAAGTTCAACATGATGACAAGTTTATTGTTCCAACGTAGATTTACAAATAAATAACATTAAAATGTCCACTACTAAATCGCTAAAGATAAATGATTCATATACCTTGTTTTCTGGCGAAAGATCTAGTCAACGTTTATAAATAACCGAAAAATCATGACTAATAAAATGAAATGGTATATCTATCAAAACACACCATTTATACTCCTAGTGTATAACACACTGAGAATTCGTGTTGTTAGCAAAAAGCGATCTATTCAGTTAACTGGCTACCACGTGAGAAAGTTACAATTTGTTCTCCCCACTGGTTTACTTTTGATTATCTGATTTCTGTCATAATTTTTTCGCATCGTGCTCTTAATATGGCTTAGTAATATCAAACGATTCTTGCTCTCCTCTCTCTTATCCCTTCTAAAATTGCATTTCAGGATTTAATTAGTTCTATTTTCTATTTTCCTAGCACCACTGTCGAAATTGCGGCCTGATATTTTGTCACGAATGTTCATCCAGAAAAATGACTTTACCAAGTTCTGCCAAACCTGTACGAGTCTGTGATACATGCCATGGATTACTTTTACATCGCTATAATGCTAAATAAACCATAATAAATGGTTTTCTTTTGTAACAGTCGTAACAATACACTTTTCGGATAAATAATTGAAAAACATACTTTTTCAGGTCTGAGCATAATAAGCTAATGTGATACATTAAACTAATGACATTTATGTTCATTATGTTCTGTCGCATTTTCGTTTCTGGTTCCATCATCAATATTTCTTTTAACACATTTATTTCTTGATTTTTAAATGTAATTTCACTAATGTATGTATTGTCGTATAGCTCACTTCTATGAATTTTTAATTCTTTCAAATAGATGAAATCGTAGTTATTTTTTTATTGCTCCTATGCTTCAGTAGTTTATTAACCCGCCTTCGTCATTTCACCATTCATTCTATTTTGACGTGAAATAATTCTCGACTATAGTTTTTCCTCTAGCACCATACTTGGAACAAATTAATGGTGGCCAGGTCCGTTTTCTTTTGTAGCATGATAATTTAAGTTTCAATTCCAAAACGCTCCCTCAAACACTTCTAAAACTGAAGTGTTTCTCACCAGATCATTCACACTTCAATTGTCTTTGTATAGGTTGATGGTAGCAGGACCGGACAACATTCTAGCAGGGGCACTAAAAGCAGACGTAGCGGCAACTGCAAGGATACTCCACATTCTCTTCAATAAGATTTGGGATGAGGAACAAGTACCAAAAGACTGGAAAGAAGGACTCCTGATCAAAATACCGAAGAAAGGCGATCTCAGCAAGTGTGATAACTACACGGGCATCACTCTTCTCTCAATACCGGGAAAAGTCTTCAACAGGGTATTGTTAAACAGGATGAAGGACTGCGTAGGCACCCAACTTCGAAACCAACAGGCAGGATTCCGCAAGGATCGATAGTGTACAGACCAAATCGCAACTCTACGGATCATTGTGGAACAATCAATTGAATGGAATTCATCACTCTACATCAACTTCATTGACTACGAAAAGGCATTTGATAGCGTGGAAAGAACAACACTATGGAAACTTCTACGACACTACGGCGTGCCTCAGAAGATAGTCAATATCATACAGAGTTCATATGATGGATTACACTGCAAAATCGTGCATGGAGGACAGTTGACAAAGTCGTTTGAAGTGAAGACCGGTGTTAGGCAAGGTTGCTTACTCTCACTCTTTCTGGTGATCGACTGGATCATAAAGATGTCAACATCTGAAGGGAAGCACCGGATACAATGGACATCTAGGATGCAGTTGGACGATCTGGATTTCACAGATGGTCTGGCCCTTCTATCCCAAACGCAACAACAGATGCAGGAGAAGACAAACAGTGTGGCAGCAGCAGTAGGTCTCAATATACACAAAGGGAAAAGCAGGATTCTCCGATACAACACAGAATGCACCAATCCAATCACAATTGACGGAGAAGATTTGGAAGACGTAAGAACCTTTACATATTTGGGCAGCATCATTGAGGAACAGGGTGGATCTGATGCAGATGTGAAGGCGCGGATCGGCAAAGCAAGAGCAACATATCTACAATTGAAGAACATATGGAACTCAAAACAACTGTCAACCAACACCAAGGTCAGGATTTTAAATACAAATGTCAAGACAGTGCTACTGTATGTGGCAGAAACAGGTGTTTATTTACAATTGTCTACGCAAAATACTTCAGATCCGTTGGCCGGACACTACTAGCAACAACGTACTGTGGGAGAGAACAAACCAGATCCCAGCGGAGGAAGAAGCGTCGGAAGTGGATAGGACACACATTAATGAAAGCACCCAACTGCGTCACAAGACAAGCCCTCACATGGAATCCTCAAGGCCAAAGGAGGAGAGGAAGACCAAAGAACACATTACGCCGGGAAATGGAAATAGACATGGAAAAAATGAACAAGAATTGGATGGAACTAGAAAAGAAGGCCCAGGACAGAGTGGGTTGGAGAATGCTGGTCAGCGGCCTATGCTCCATTAGGAGTAACAGGCGTAAGTAAGTAAGGTTGATGGTGCACTCCTGGTGTATTCACATGTCTTAAGTATTAGTTATTCACATTTTTTATACAGTTATCTGCAATTTAGAACTTGGATCGCAAGAATTTGAACTTGATGAATTCAGTCGAGAATTTTTACCACTTGAGCCTTCACTTTTGAGGGTATAATCCCTGTATATAGTTGGTGGTTATTCAGTAACATTGAAGCTATGTTCTCTAAATGGGTCTAACGTCTTCGAGACTTGAAGATTTTACCCGGGTCTCTATCAGTCCATGGATGAACTGTATAACAGTAATTAGGCAAGAAATCCCTGAATTCTGATTTTCTCACTTAGCTAAGCTATGTGAATGCGCTAATATTGTTCGACGACCGTTTGACTGGGAATCGCGTGAAAAGGTAAACTGATAGTAACCTGCAAATTTATATAAGTTGTCAAAATCTATATAAAATGAGTTAGTTGCTAGTACCTATGTTATTACCCTCTGCACTGATATATGAATAGTTTCACTTGAAGAACGGCCCGAAAATATTACCTTCAGTGACCATTCACACTGCTCATATATAGTCACGCGTTTTGAGCCTCTTCCGGGATACTCCTATTCACTGTTTTCATGTGACTGGAATGTATGTTTACAGAAGTGGAGTCTCACTAGCTGGTATTCAGCACCTATCTAGGATGGCTGATACTCAATGCTGTAGTAGACCGAATAAGATCAGGCTGAATAAATGGTTCCAACAGCTATCAATTATAAGTTAGTATAGGAACAAACTAGAAATAATTACAAAGCAGAGTGATTTGCAGCTTTGAGTAATATAAGTATTGACATTGTTAAAAAATCTCCAAATTCAACATTCCACGTCCTGAATGTAAGTAGTTAGTAACGAGGCACTGAATTACTGGTCTGGCAAAAGATCAATTTCGATTTTCTTTAAGCGGTCAATAACATAATTAAGAAAAATGAGTGGACTTCTAATTATGGTGCATTGTGAACAATAATTAAGTGCACAAGAACATGGAAAGTGTCGATATAATTTGAACGGAAGTACTTTTAAAGGAAATATGAAAGGCATACAAATCTGATGAAAGACAAACCAGGTTACTTAAAGAATCGCTGGTACAAAATACATGGAAAAATATAGGGTCCAGAAAATTGGGTTGTATGCACATCGTTGTTTATTTAATGTGAATACATATCTTAGCTATGCGTAGTTATGCAAAACAACCATAGCATAGAAACAAAAATAGTGTCCACCTACGTCACAGATTATGTAATACCACTTAGGATGGATATTCATAGTAATTTTAAATGTATGTGTATTTTTTTAATGTGCTTTAGGTTCTTTAAAAAAAACAAAAATATATCACCTGGTGTTTGGAATAATGCTTCAAGTGTGAAATGCTGCAAAAAGGAATAATTTGCGGAATTCAGTCGATAAAATTTACAAAGTGTTATAAAGTGTCCTACATTATACAGTTTGTATTTGAAGACGTGTTGATAGTACAGTGGGCAGAGTTGTTTTAACGACACATGTTGGGGATGGTAGATCCCCAGAACTCACTTGATAAATGCCTTAATTTTATAATCTTATTCTGGATGTTTAAGTTTGCTTGTTTTCGCGTCTTTAGAGCACTTTTCACCTTCATGTCGTATTTCCCACTTGGGAGAATCTTTAATGCTATTGGCCCGTCGTGTAATTTTAGCATGCTATTTTTGCTACGCCTCATAAGGACAGTTTTATGCTGCATATATACGTTTGATTTGTGCCTGGTATTAATCATTCGTGCTTCTGGCTTACGGAGTATGCTTTCTCGTTCCAAGCTTGAACTTCTTCCTCTAGTTAACGGGGCTGGGACGCATCAAAGAGCTAGCTTATTGGTCTACGGTCAAAAGTCTTTGTTCCGTTCGCATACTAAGTGAACTCGTAATAGCTTCAAACCTAGCAACACATCTTGTATGTTTAGTCAAATTTCGCTCGTTCAAATTTTTTATTTATGTCATGGCTAAGTGGACGTTAAGGCGATAGAATTAGGAATAAGTTCATCTCTGGATTGTTATTTCGTTACAAATTTTGTGGATTTCTGTTGTCGTTTGACATTATTGTCAAAGAATTGAGCTTTTCGACTGGCAAGTTATTTCTGTTCCAATGGCACAGCAGAATTTGGTGTGGTATCTTGCTTCATATATTGATCAATTATCTCGTTCATAATTGCAGGTGCATCGGAAGAAAGGACATAGTTATGTGCATTCAAAAACGATATTCTCTTGCTCATTGTCGATAAACATTCACTTTTGGAGATTTATGGTAAGTGCTAAGGGAATGGTCCATCGTAAGGCAATATCAACTGGTTCTGGATATCCTCAACCAAAATTACAACAAATTTGCTGGGTGCCATGTGTTTAATAAGTTGTTCAGGGTGAATAGTCAGATGAGCAGGAGCAGGCTTTGGCTGTTGCATATCTTGTGGTGTGGTACTGACAAACGATATCAAATGTTTCAAATTCTAATTAACTGACAGTTCGAGTAAGGTCAGTGTTGAGCATAAACCTAGTGAGCTTCAGTAAATTGTTGTCTCGTTTTGAGATGTTATACATAATGGTGGAATCCTGAAACGAAACGGTTTTGTGTAAATATTGAACGCGATCATGATGCGAATATGCTTGCTTCGCTCCCATTCATTGAGGACAATGTCGAAGTGACACGAGTGAGAAGTACATACCTGCTATAGACTAACAATTAGGATTTGTAATCGACTTTTTGCTTCATTTTGGAATTGATTAACGATCCATTTTCTATAGTTCTCTGTCTTGTTGAACGATTAAGATCGATAATGATTTAAAGTGATTATTGTGTCTCAACGGTTTATAAAGTACCAATCAGATTCTGATTCTGCAAAGTGGTCATGCAGTGCCAATGTTGATGAAATAAATTATGATTTGCTATGCAAACACTTATTTCTGCGTCAACTAGCTGAACTTTAGTCACTTTGTTATGATCAGTACCAAAACAGAATGGCATTGGTTGTTCATGGTCCACCTTGTTCTACATTTTCACTATCGTCGAGGGAACGTATGCATATAGTAAACTAGTGTTTCAACTCCAAGTATCAAAAACTTTGTGGCATGTACTTACCAGATTTAATGTTACATGAATGAGCATAGTAGGTTATTATCCATGAGAATGGTAGACCAGAATCAATAGCTTTGCAAGTCTTTGACATTTGATATTGACCACATTAGTTTTAAAGAACTCACCTATGTGAAGGTGCTGGGTCACGTATCTGCACCAGATCACGAAAAGTTACTTTGTGCTTCATATTTAAAACCGTTACCCAGCTGA